AAGAATTGAGAGAAAGATGTTTTTCAATAGTGATAGGAGTAGTATCGATATTCGAAAGGAGAGAAAGATCATGAGCTTGGGTAGCATTCTGGACAGTGACGATGCGCGTACCGCTCTTGAGAGCGTGAAATGAAATATCTCTGCCAACATGACGCAGGAGCGCTTTGGCAATACTATGGTCAGAAAGGTAGGCAGAAGAAGAAGTTGGTCTTAAAGTAAAGAATTTAGTCCATTGTGTGGTCCGAAACTGAGCGTGGAGAGGGAGTGCTTGACGTGTCGGTCGTTTCCGAGTAGAATGGGAAGGTAACGACGGAGCATCATCAGGAGATTGACGTTGGCGTTTAGGAGTAGGACCGGAGTTGGTCCGGCATGAAATGGGTGGGCGATTCGAAAATTGCCGTACCGTAGAGGGAGAAGCCGGAAGCATAGTCAAAGGAGAGCGGAGTTCAGACAAATCGAAGGAGTCAGTCAAAGCCCCGGTACCTGAAGCGGGTGAGGAAACAGCACCAGCAAGAGGTACAGGGGCATCAGGAGTGTCCGAAGAGTGGTCTAAACACAAGGCAGGGTCAGAATGGGGTGCGGTATCAAGAAGGGGCCCGGGGGTAGTGGTTTCATGGACTAGGGCTGCCATGGTTAGGTACTCCTTTGCTTTTTGTTTTTAAGAAAAAAAAAGAAAGAAGAAAAGAAAATAAAAACAAAAAAAAGAATAAAAAAAGGGGGGAGCGGGGAGGAATAGTTCCCAGGAGGAATGAAAGGGCCGGAAATCTCCCTCCGCGCCCAAGAGGACTCGACACCGCTAGTAGCGCAGATGCAGCATGGAACCCGTGCCATACCCTACCCTTCATGCCAGTAAACCAGCAATCCGGGATAGCAACCTCACATCTGCCGAGCTACCTCGGTGGACAAAAGAGAGGGCGGCCGGATATCCGCCACAAAGCATACCTCCTTCAGCCACCACCCCCGGAATCCGAAAGGTGGCTTCCAGAGATACACCCGTCGCCCAAAAGACACCCAAAGCTACTCCGGGATACCGGAGAGGGATCGGGACATCCTTAGGCAATCCAGATTCCACGGCAAACTACGCCACCGCCAAGAAACCTCAACGGAATGGGATCGACCCCGGTGTCCTTTCCCCTACCTAGGAACTAGCGCGCCTGTGGGAGAAATCACGAAGGCTAAAAAGAGGAAGGGCAAAAGGGAGGGGTGAGGAGGAGGAGGAGGAATGGAAAAAGGGGAGGATGGGGAGGATGGGATAGGGGAGGGGAGAATGGGGGGTAATTAGGTTCGGTCTGAGGAAGAAGACCGACAGGGCTAATTCCTCAGACCAAGAGCCTCTTCACCACGCCAAGGAGCCCCCCTTGAAGAGGATTATGTACTGGAGTGCGTCACAGTGTCATTGTACTGGAGTGCGTCACACTGCATCATTATGCACTGGAGTGCGTCACACTGCATCATTATGCACTGGAGTGCGTCACACTGCGACATTATGTACTGGAGTGCATCACATCCTGCGTCATTATGTACTGGAGTGTGTCACACCCTGCGTCATTATGTACTGGAGTGCGTCACACCCTGCGTCATTATGTACTGGAGTGGGTCACACCCTGCGTCATTATGTACTGGAATGCAATAAAATTAATGCATTCAGAGACCAGTCACTCAGAAATGTTCAAGATATGTCAAATTATTTTATCCACATTGGTATATTACAGACCCTGACTTTGACCCTGTAAATAAAGCATTACCATGTGTGTGTGTGTACTCACCTAATTGTGGTTGCAGGGGTCGATACTCAGCTCCTGGCCCCGCCTCTTCACTTATCGCTACTGGGCCCTCTCTCTCTCTGCTCCATAAGCTTTGTCATACCTCATCTTAAAGCTATGTATGGTTCCTGCCTCCACTACATCACTTGCTAGACTATTCCACTTCCTGACGACTGACTGAACAAATACTTCCTAACATCCCTGTGACTCGTCTGAGTCTTCAGCTTCCAACTGTGTGTACTCACCTAGTCGTGGTTGCAGGGTTCGAGTCATATCTCCTGGCCCCGCCTCTTCACTGGCCGCTACTGGGTCACTCTCCCAGAACCATGAGCTTTATCATACCTCTGCTTAAAGCTATGTATGGATCCTGCCTCCACTACATCACTTACCAAACTATTCCACTTCCTGACTACTCTGTGACCAAAGAAATACTTCCTAACATCCCTGTGATTCATCTGTGTTTTCAACTTCCAACTGTGTCCCCTTGTTGCTGTGTCCCATCTCTGGAACATCCTGTCTTTGTTCACCTTGTCAATTCCTCTCAGTATTTTATATGTCGTTATCATGTCCCCCCTATCTCTAGTCCTCCAGTGTCGATTTCCCTTAACCTCTCCTCGTAGGACATATGTATACTCGAGTGTGTGTGTACTCACCTAATTGTGGTTGCAGGGATTGGTGTGTGTCTGTGTGACCCAACAATTAATATTTGCACAAATAACTCACAGTTGTGACTGGGTGTGGACGTGTGAATTACTCATTACTCTATAATTTTTTCATGACTGTAGCCATGTATAAATGTAAGTAGGTAAATTTATTTACTTACATGATTCAATACCTTTGTAACTTGCGAGGTCATTACCATTGTACCTTGTTCAGCTATCAAAACTCTGAGGCCCAGTTCCTGGACCCATTATGTACCTCTGTAATCTGTAAATACCTTTGTAACTTATCATGATTGAGACCAGATCTACCTGGAGTTCATTACTTTTGTAACTTGCTCAGCTATCAACACTTTGGGGCCCAGTCCCTGGACCCATTATGTACCTCTGCAATCTTTTGACTACTGCCCATAGGAAGGGTATGGGGTGCATAATAAACATATTAAACTAAACTAGATCAAGAGCCCCTCACCAGCATCAAGGAACCTTGCTTGAGGGGATTATTATTAATAGTAGTAGTAGTAGTTTCTTTATTTCTACAAGTACATGTACAAGGTATACAGGCATAGCTGACATCAGTGACATACTACTATGTATATAGAAAGCCACTTGTTAAGCAGAGAATTTCAGGCAAATTAGGTCAATTTTGTCCCAGGATGCGACCCACACCAGTCGACTAACACCCAGGTATCCATTTTACTGCTAGATGAACATGGACAGTAGGTATCTTAAGGGAACACATCCTGATGTTTCCACTCATACTGGGGATTGAACCATGGACCTCAATGTGTGAGCTGAGTGCGCTAGCGATCGAGCTACTTGTTAAAATAAATACAGTGGAACCTCAGCTTACGAGTTTAATCCATTCCGTGACCTTGTTCGTATCCCGATCTGCTGGTATGCAGAGTCAATTTTCCTCATTTAAATTAACTGAAATACCATTAATCCATTCCAGCAGAATTCCTGCTCTCAGGAGGCAGGAATGTGATGCTAATATCAACTCTAAGGCTTATTTATCTATCACAATTCATCTAATGTGACACAATAAACAATATAAATAACAAAGAAACCTGATATATACTCAAGAATGAATAAAATATGTCATTATGTGACAAGTGGTGGCAGCCATTCCTTACCTCAAGCTGCCGCCTTGTTGTGGGTCAGTGGGGGAGACCTCCCGCCATCCCCCAACAGACACCACCATCCCAGCTTGCGTGTTCAGTTTCACTTCTCCTACAAGCTAGCTGTGTTTGTGAATTGTGTTTTGATCTTTTAATTACCATATCTTGTATCTGACAAGCAATCATGACACCCAGTAGGCATACCAGTGTTGCTGAATGACTTACTGACTTGACTGACTGAATGACTTTTTCACTGAAGAGGACCCTGAAACAGTGTTTAGAGCAGCTGATGCCTTACCATCAATTGTATGATGTTCTGCAGGGTAAAACAGAACAGAAATCCATTACAGAATTTATGCACACTCCAGTACAACCATCGACTTCAGTACCAGAACCTCTACCATCCACCTCAGCCCAGTAGGACCACAACATAACTCTCCACTCTCTCCACAATCATCCACAAACACCAGCACCCACAATTTAAGGTAAGAAATACTATTATTTCTGTTGCAATTATAGTCTTAAGAAGTAAAAACAACATAATGCATCACAACAATGAACTACAATTATATACTCATTTTTACTTTTGTAAGATCTAGAGATCTAAAAAAAAGTTGTTTGAGAGGGAAGGTCGCATCCTGAATTTTTGCTCGTATCCAGAAACAAAAAAATCAACCGAGCGACTGCTCGTATCCTGAAAAACTGGTATGATGGGACACTCGTAAACCAAGGTTCCACTGTATTACTATTACCATTATCATTACTGACAAGTGTTCATAACACTTTCCCTAGATACTCATTACTAATCAAATCACGGATTGGGCGGGAGGGGTTTAACCCATGACCCATGGCAAGTGAGACCTAAAACTCAGCCAAGTGCATTAACCACTCAACTCAATGTTGTATGACCCTAGTGGGTTTACTGCTTAGTTATGATTGTAATACTGTAATAATAATATCCACCAGAATCATGATAGCCATTACTAACCTTAATATCACAGGATGACCTCACAGCACCCAGCCTGCTGGTACAAACCTTGCTCAAGGCCCCCAATGAAAATAAGTCACTTGCTGGAGTGTCTTTCATTTGACAGGCAGATGATCCAACTTCCATCAGGTGGCATGCCACCAGTTCAGCACTACCAACAAAGCTACCTTATCAAAAACAGGGCCAATAGGTCCCCTTTTTACTCTTGTTTAGGTGGTGGATTTTGCAAAAGAGGGAAATTACCCCACTAATAATGACAAATTAGAAAAAGTCCAATTAAGGGGATACGAGGCCCAATTCCTTGGATCAAGAGCCAATTTGCTGCAGCTAGGGGACCCCCACCACTATTGAACGGGCAGTTTCATAATACCTGTACATGGGCAAAGACATTAAAAACCACAAACAATGCATATAGATCATACAGCAGCATAGACACATACAGTGGTATAAGAGACTTGAAGAAAACACATTTAATAAAACATTTTTAATGAATAAATTACAAATATTTTTACAACCATAGAAAAATTTATACAAGTAAAAAATGATTTTTAATGCTGTCAAGTGCATTACCATGATAAACAGTATACATTAAGCAACATCAAGTTATTGCCAACAATGAATTCATAGCATTTTCATCCAAGACATTCAAAAGTTTGAGCTAAAAATTTAATATATATTGAATAATTCTACAAAACAGGACTGTCACTCATTTGGGATAGTGTGTGGCTCTCAATGTACAATATTACTATGCTCATTACATGGCTTAAAAAATGTCAATTTACTGGTTAACTTGAAAAAGAATAAAAAGGCACAATACTGTGACGGGAATACACATATTACCTGCACATAAGAGACAAACTTATGACAACATTTTGGTCTGATCTGGACCATTAACTAGTCAAACATAAGTGCTTCTGTGTGTCTAGTTAATGGTCAAAGTTGGACAGAAACATCATAATAAGTTTCATTCTCCCATCCCCTCAAGGAAGGTTCCTTGATGTTGGTGAGGGGCTCTTGATTTAGGGAATTGGATCTGTGCTCCAGTTCCCCGAATTAAGCCTGAATGCCTTCCACATCCCCCCCCCCCAGGCGCTGTATAATCCTCCAGGTTTAGCGCTTCCCCCTTGATTATAATAATAATAATAATTCACTCTCCCATGTGCAGGTTATTTGTGTAGTGGTTAACTTATTTGCCAGAGAAGAATAACATCACAGCTTCTTGTGCATTTTGTACAGTTTCAGAGAAAAACTGAAGGATGTCTCAAAATGCAGAAGTTATTTAGATTTTTTACTCTTGGACCTCTTTCAATTTGAAAGCATATTGTGGAAACCTGCACAGAATGTCAATGACTTTTTTTTTTACCATTTCTGCTTATAAGGACATTTTGCTGTAATGAAAACATGTGACCATCTATCTGATATGAAGGGGTGACTATGGTATTGATGAGCACTGCATGACACATATTGGTTTAGTGCTTATTTTTAATATAATAATAATTATAAGGTATTGATGAGCAACATCCTAACCTCCACCTGTAAGACATCAAATAAAATTAATACTTATCATAAAAAAGTAGTGACTAGATTGATACTTGACAATGTGTGTGCAATATTAATATTTACACATATTTACAATATATACAATAAAATAACTGAACACAAGATGTCCAAACACAAAAGGAGATAAGACTGGAATGATAGAATGTAACTTAGGCCAAATTCTCAGAGCCATCCTAGAGACATACTCATCAAAGTATATTCACAATATCTTTTTCATGGATAAGCTGCATAATCTCAGTTCCCTGTAAACAAAAATGCATCCTTGACTGTCATTACTGACAACATTAGGTAGCAAATAACCAGTCAGAGTGAATCCTTCGAACACAGGTTATAGTTGCAGCACATTCATTAAGATGGTTGTTTTGGTGATCTTAGTATTTCATCTTGTCAAATCACATTCCTAGTTCACTTAAGCTAGGAAAAGTTAGATGAAAATTGTACAGTATATTGAAATAAATCCCTAAATATTAAAATTAAGACAAGTGATTCATGGTGCATTTATATAGTCTGTGTTGATGTGAATTCTTCCTGATTCAATTACAAATATGTAATGTATTATTTATACATTTAGAGATTTATTTAATTTTTATATAAAACTTAAACCTTTATAATAATAGATCATGCAGTATTTATATGATGCATATATTAATACAAGAATTAACGCCTATGACTGTTTATTTAAAAAGTTAAAAATAAACTTGTACAATACAAATACATACTATACTGTAATAATTCTAAACTGAATAATACCAATTAGTACTGTGCTAATTTTAACAGGCTACAAGAGAATAAAATATACAGCAAATTATTTAAAGTTTCCTCAAGTCATAATACATATTCCACAACATTAACTCTTCAAGCCTTGAGGCTGAAGGGCTTTTGAATCTACAATCACACCTGATTACCAGCCACTCCTCCCAATCCCCAGGCATTGTACAACCCATATGGGTTTACATCATTCCCATGATAATAATAATCCACACCACTAAGTGTGTGTGTGTATAACACAGCTAACCATGAACATTATGTCTATATATGATCAAGACAAATTACTGTACACTGCAACAAATATTTGTGATCCAAAGGAAGTAGGTGCATACAGTTAGGCTGCATGTCTAACTGCATTTTGCATGCTAGATTGAGCCTCTATCACTCCTTGAGGTCAATGACCCACATGAGTTTAGCACATTACATAAAAAATTATGAAAAAAAAACTGTGATCCATAATGAGCTTTGATTTCCATTGTATCCTTCAGGCCCTAAGCTTAATGAGGTAAAGTTGGGTGTCATCTCTAATTTTATGAGTTCAAGGGAGGTGCCTTGATACTAGTGAGGGGCTCTTGATTCCTTCCTTGGATCAAACATATTTACCCCCCATCCCTCCCTCTTCCAGGTACTGTTTGACCCCTACAGGTTTTATGCTTCCCCATGAATGTAAAAAAAAACATAATATTCAACACAGGTGGCAGTATCTCATACTTATTATAGTGTTTAGAAAACACTACTGAATAATGTATAATAATCTTAATAACATGCAGTTAAAATCATACCCTTGAAAAGGTAATACACAGTATAGTTTTGATTAACCATGAAAACAATCATATTCTTAAGTCAAGTTCTGCATTTTTATCTAAAATTGTGAGACAAGAGGTTCTCAAACCTTTCTTACTAAAAGATAATTAAAGCAAAACACTAAATTATTAATCTAAATGGCACACTGGTTGCAAGAAAAACTTCAAAAGGCCTCAAAGAACCTGGGAAAAATTACCATTTGAAACAGACATTCATTCTTTAGAAAAAAAAAAAGAAGCAAAATGTATGTTTAGAGATAGGTGTGTGTGTGTGTGTGTATGTAGTAGAAATGCATTGACTAAAGAGTCATAATATAAAAAAGCTAGAATACTGGAACTTACAGCTAAAATACAGCAGAGCATCAGTAAGAGTATGTGACAGAATACAGAATGATAATAGTACTGTAGTTGTAGTTTATAAAGCCACAAACAACAATTGGAAACTTTATCTAAGACAATGTTTCACCCCCTTAGCAAGCTTTACGGTATGATCAAACTATAAAGCCTGCTGTACAGGTAAAATGTTGTCTTCAATATTTTTCAATTGTTGCTATGTGTATTTATGAACTACAAAAGCTAGAATACGTAGGAGCAAGTTACAGCCTGACCACGGATGTTAATTTATTAGCCAGGGAAAATAACGTGACAGGTTGATATCACCTGAATCACGAAACTGTGATAACACGACTGCAAACATACCATGGAACGGGTGTTTTACAACTCGCTCGCCATGGGTTCAAACCCATCTGTTCCGTGGTTTTGAAATCACACGATAACTCACTAACTACAGATCTGACCCAGATTCAGCTTTGGATGTTGGGTTAAACTCTGTCTGCTCGATCTTTGATTATCACTAACTTGATGCACACTTCATTTATTGCCATGACAATTCATCTGTAAGAGTCGAGTGTACAGTATCTTCTTTGAAGATACAGCTGTGTTAATCTTATCTCCATTTCTTTTTTTTTATAGTCGTTCACATTCTACCCTAGTGTTTAAGGAAACTTGAGTTACAAAAATTTACATTTTCAAAGAGTGCAAATTAAGTGATGTGGTTTAAAAAATTTAACGAGATGAGGTACATTTAACCCTTTGAGGGTCCGTCCCATAGATCTACGGCTTTACGTTCAGGGTCCAAACCGTAGATCTACGTCATGAGCTCAGCTCACTCTGATAAACTGTGACTGGTACATTTGGGCCTAGATATGAGAGAATACATCTATGTGGTATGTGTGCACCACATAAAACAGATCCTGCAGCACGCTGTGTATAATGAGAGAAAAAAACTGAAATCATGATTTTTCGATTAAAACAGCGACTTTGCAGTGTTTTTCGTATGTTTTTTATAGTTCTATTTGCGATTTCTTGGTCTCATTTGATAGAATGGAAGACATATTACAGAAATAGAGATGATTTTGATTGGTTTTAGCACTGGAAATGGCTTGAAACAGCTCAGAGTAGCAGAAATGTTAAATTTTTGCCGATATTCAAAAGTAAACAAACGACCTCACACGTTTAATACGCGCCAGCTGGTGGGTCTAATATGCATTCACAAATATGGTGATGATATTTATACAATTATTACAGTATTGCATAGCAGTAAATCTTCTATTTTTTGGTGTGAATAAAAAATCAAAATGGAATTTATTTGTAAAGTCTCAAAACATAACTAATGAACAGAGGAAATGTTAGTTTAGTTCCAGGAATACATACATTGTTTATTCTGGACCCTATTTTGAAATTGGAATATTTTGAACTTTGTGTTAAATTGGCCAAATTAACAATTTCCAATCACTTTAATTTGTAGTTGAAACAGTTGACTTGGCGATTTCTTGTGCTCAATCGATACAATAGAAGTAATACTAGTGAAATAGCTAAGAATTTGGTTGACTGGAATAATGTAATTGGCCTAAAATGGGAGTCAAAGTCGGCAAAATCACCGATTCGTAAATATCGCTGGCACATCAAAATTTGCGAGAGCATAATTTCGTAAATTTTCCATCAAATTTCGTACTTTTTGTTTTATTACCTTCACAAAAAGATTATCTACCATTTCATAAGAAAAAATAACAAATTTTTTTTTTTTAAATTCTTGGACACTGGGGCACCACTTCAGATTTGGGCCTTGGACCCTGAAGGGGTTAAAAGACTGTTTGCCCCAATACTTGCAATAGCTGCCTTAAATTATTTGACTGCAAAGTGTATGTTTGAAGCCTTTTAATATACACTATGGAGAAACCTTAGCAAGTTTGCTACATGAAACTATAAAGGGGTATGATAGAAAAGGGAAGGAAACAGCAGAAGGTGCACCTCTACATCATATAAACAAAAATATTTCATTTTTACTGAATGTGTAGGTTTATAAATAATGCTGTATTAACCCCTTGACTGTCACAACCCCAAAATCTGAGGTGTCTCCTGGTGTTGCAAAATCTCCCCCCCCCCCCCCACCAAAAAAAAAAAAATTATATTTTCTTATGAAATGATAGAGAATCTTTTCTCGATTGTAATAACACCAAAAGAACGAAATTTGATGGAAAACTGATGGAATTACGCTCTTGCAAAGTTAGCGACCTCGGCAATATTTACGAATTGGCGATTTCACCCACTTTGAGCCCTATTTTCGGCTAATTCCATTGTTCCAGTCAACCAAACTCATAGCTATTTCTTTAGAACTCCATTTTTTCTACCGAATGAGTACAAGAAACAGCCCATTTACCGATTCCAACTACCCAATAATGTGGTCAGAAATTTGCAATTTGGCCAATTTCATGAAAATTAAAAAATATGACAATTTCAAAATAGGGTCCAGAATGAACAATGCAGACATTCCTGGCTCTAAAATAACATTTTCTTTGTTCATCACTCACATCTCCAGGCCCCTCTGATATTACTCTTGCTTTCTATTTTGAATTTTTATTCAACAAAAAATAGAAGATTTACTGTTATGCAGACTACTGCAATATTGTAATAATTGTATAAATAATGTCAACCCATTCATGACTGCATATTAGTATGGCTACTTGGACATTTATTGGAAAATGACATCATTTGTTTACTTTTGAACATCAGCAAAAATCAAACATTTCCCCTACTTTGAGCTCTATTTCAAGGTTCTTTTCATAGTAAAACCAATCACAATCACCTCTATTTCTATAATATGTTTTCCATTCTATCAAATGAGACCAAGAAAAAGAGAATACAACCATAAACACTATATGAAAATAGACCACAAAGTCTGCATTTTAATAAAAAAAAAAAGGAGTTTTTTTTCCCTCATTATGCACTGCGTGGTGCAGGATGTTTTTTTATATGGTGCACACTGACCACACAGACCCATTCTCTCACATGTGGGCCTACCAGCTTTCTCCTGCTTGATTTGAAGCCGCTAGAATTTATGAGTATATATACGTCAAAAACGGTGGCTTGTAAGACGTATATATATATAGAGATGTAAAAATAATTTTAAAGATGTAGAGAGCTTTAGTGCGAAGCTTCCTCACTAATACCATCTGTTTACAATCACTTATCCAAGCCTGTCTGTTTTGTCTTTTGTATTCCTTCTCAGAATTAACAGTTACTGCATTAAAAACTGTAGTTTGTCATCTTCATATGTACTTAGAAAAGATTATTTTTATTCATGTGTAGTTGTATGTGACTAATTACCTTAGAATGCAAATCTAATAAAAAATGTGAAGACCTGATTTCCCTGGCAACTGATAATGTAAATTTTCCAAATTGATGCTCTACTGTAGTAAGCACACAGGTGCCCAGCTTCTAAGGAGAAAAATGTAACAATACAATAAGGTATGACAGTGATAGAAGATAAGCTAAACATTCAAGAAAGCTATGGTAGTGATTCAAGATAGCATATTCCTTTAATGAAATACTTACTGCTCAAAATGACTGATACTCTCTAAAACAATATACACTGACAATTACAGTTCTATACTGAAAGATGAAATAAATAGAATTTATAATGCAACTGTGGATTGTGACGTGAAAGAAAGAACACTGCCAAATGGGTACAAAACTGGCTTGTATGAGAAACCTAATAATAATAATGGGTGCAATCAAATGATGTAACAATAGGTAAAAAATACTAAGCACTCAGCTAAAAATACTAAGATCACCAGACCATCTGTTTGAACCCTGTCACTTCACTTGAATAGTCTTTATTGCTCATAACTGGCTGTATGCCTGTGGTGCACTATGAACCAGTCATTATGTACACCTTTATTGAGTATTCTTTATATTTATGAATACTATGAGACTACTGCTCCTCTTAAAATTTAATACCATATGTAACAATGGTACTTTGAAAATTATTTTGACAGAAATCAAAACAGCCAACCAGGGCTGTCATCTGAGATACAGAATAAACAAGTTCAAATATACAGACGGAATCATGCAAAGCATATTGTGATAATGGTAGAATTACCGACAACATGTTAGTTAAAAGAACACATATGTGACTAATGCTTGACAAAGCTCCTGGAGAGCGGAACATTACCACAATAAAATGTTGCATTAATTGCACTTGTGTCCTTGTACCTAACAAAGCATATTGTCATTTCAATATTTAATTTTCCTAATATCTACAATACAAAGGCATAGAATTTTGCATCTTACGCATCAGAAACGATGCATCTATGGTATCCCTTATAAAATATCTATGATCAGAGGGAATGCTCACTATAAGAGCCAGTATTTATGAGATTATTTGGTACTGTAAAGGCAACTACAGTATTTTGTCTCTGGGTACAACTGTACACAAGATCACTAAGTGATTTTTAACTTACAAATGAGTCACATATGTTTTTCACCTTACAGACAAGATGCATATTTTTTATCAGTTTACAAACAAGATACATATATATGTTTCATTTTTTTTTTTTCAGTTTACAAACAAAACGCCTATACAGTGGAACCTCGGTTTTCGAATCCCCTGGTTTTCGTCGAATTCGGTTTTTGATGACTTTCTTCATCAAAATATTGTCCCAGTTTTCGTTCATCACCTCAGTTTTCATCCTCCGTACTGAATGTGTCCGTCTGCCCACGCCCACACAAAGCATCCCACACACGCATTCTGGGTCAGTTTGGCTTAGTTTCTTGTCGAGTGAATATTACCCTATGCATTCATACGAAACATTTCGTAATAATCCATTGTTTTTTGTGCTTGTTTATTGAGTGCAACTGCTAAATAAGTCACCATGGGGCCAAAGAAAGTTCCGAGTGCAAGCCCTTTGATAAAGAAGGCGAGAAACATGATAGAATTCAATGGTGGTAGAGGGTGGTAGTGATGGGGGTAGAGGGTGGTATTGGTTGTGATGGTAGTAGAGGGTGGTAGTGATTATGGTAGAGGGTGGTAGTGCTGGTGGTAGAGATAACCTCTCCTCTCCATCTTCCATACACAAACAAGTCTTCAATAAAGGTACAAGTGATTTAAATGTTCATTTATCCATTTCATTAGTGCTGTATATTTATTTCTCATTGTTTTCTGTATGTAAAACTATGGTCATTTTCTATAAAATGTATTTTTTTGTTAATATTTTTGGGTGTCTGGAACAGATTAATTGGATTTACATTATTTCTTATGGGTAATATTGTTTCAGTTTTCGTCAGACTCTCTGGAACGAATTAAAGACGAACACTGAGGTTCCACTGTATGTTTTTTCTCCTTACAAACAGGTTGCATATATTTTTTTTGGCTTACAAACAAGCTGTATGTGTCTTCTTAACTTGCAAATGAGTTGTATCTCGGGTTCTTTGACTTAAAAATGAGTTGTTTAAAAAAATCATACCACGGGTGGGATTTGAACCTGCGGTCAGAGTCTCAAAACTCCAGACCGTCACGTTAGCCACTGTGCCAGCTACCTTCAATAAGATTCATCCAACTAGGTATATTTCTACACCATAGGAAGGTAAGCATAGGCACCACCGTGACCACAAATGCAAGCTTTTACAGACGAATCTCTCTGACCGCGGGTTCAAACCCCACCCGTGTTATGGTTTGTTTGCAATCATGTCATTACGATTTCATGAGTCATGAGTTGTTTGTATAGAAATTAATAGTACAAAGGCTATTTTAAGTCTTACTCATGTACATATTATGACTGCAGTTGTAAAAATAATTGGTTTTAAGTGCAGATGTGTGTAACTTGTGCATTTGTAACTGCCACTGGACTACACCCATTCATATATATACATGTACCTAAAAAAAGTGGACAATACTTGAAATAATAGTACCTTGGCATCCTCTAAAACTTTAATTAACGTGACTATTTATCAATGCAGAAAGAACAAAAAGGCACAATACTGTGACTGAAACACTGCAGAAATAACCCACATATAGGAGAAAGAAACATGTGATGTTTCAGTCCAACTTGGACCATTAATGAATTACACACAGTTGGGCCAAAACATCATCATAGGTTTCTTTCTCCTATGTGTGGGTTATTTGTGTATTTATCTATGTAATACTTAAGTAAAAAGTCTACAATGTGCCTAACACTAGGAAAACCTTTGGCTTCCATGAGCGGTAAATAATGAGCAAGAGATTATTACATGGTGACATCACAATCATAGTGTGATGTTAAACATATTTATAGATGGGGTTGTAAAAAAGTAAACACAAGGGTTTTGGGGAGAGATGTGAAACCGAAAGATAGTGAATTTAATATAAAATGGGAGTTGTCACAGTTGCACTTTGCTGATGACATGGTTGTTTTGGGAGATTCTAAAGAGTAGTTGTAAAGATTGGTGGAGGGATTTGGGAGGGTATATAAAAGAAGGAAATTAAATGTAAACATAGGAAAGAACAAGGTGATAAGAGTAAAGAAAATTCCAGGCAATGAAAGATTGGTTATCAGACTGAAGGGAGGGAGTATGGAGTAAGTAAATGTTTAGATATTTGGTAGGGGACTTTTTTGGTGGTTGGGTCTGTGAAAGAACAGGTGAACCATAGAACAGACAAGGGGGAAAAATTGTGGGCAGTGCATTGAGCCATCTATGAAGACCAAGAACTTTGCTGATGGAGATAAAAAAAGGGGAATGTACAAGAGTATAATAGTGTCATTACTATTATATTGGTGTGAAACATGGGTTTTAAATGTTGCAGTGAGGAGGAGGATGGCAGCAGTGGAGATGTCATGTTTGAGGGCAGCGTGTGGTGGGAATATTATGTGGGGCATTTAGAGTTTAGATATTAGAAAGTTTGGGGTTACCAAAAGTATTATTGTGAGGGCTGAGGAAGGATGTGCTCTGGTGATCTGGATATTCAGAGAGGATGGAGCATAATAGGATGACTAGGAGGGTTTATAACTCTGAAATGGAGGGAAAGGATGAAGGTTAGGGTAGAGGTCATCCCAGGAAAGGTTGAAAGGAGGGGCAGGGGTTGTCCCAGGAGAGGTTGGAGAGGGAGGGGGGGGGTAAAGGAGGTTTTGAGTGCTTGGAGCTTGGACATCCAATAGATTTGTGTGAGCACAAGTGGTTTTTTATGACTGGACATGCTGTAGGAATGTAAACAGGGTAACATTTATGAATAGATTCAGGGAAACTGGTTATCCAGACTTGAGTCCTGGAGGTGGGAAATACAGTGCCTACACTCTGAAGAGGATGGGTGGAGATGCTGCAATTCAGAGGGCTATGTGAATTGTGATGTCAGCATGAATCTAGTAAGACAGCAATTAAATGAATGATGGGGGAAAATGTTTTCTTTTATTCACTCACTGTGTCTCAGTGGAAGACAGCCAATGTGTTAAAGTAATGCTTGCTAAACCTTCAAGGTGAAGGCCTCTCAAGAGTTCAGTAAAGTTACTCTCTGCAATTGTGTCATTTCACCATTTGTAGGCTTTGTGCCGTATGTCTCCAGGAGTCAGAGATAATGGAGGACTTAACAGTAGTCACAGAGAAGTACTGTGTATACAACTAGCTTTCCCTCTACAATATAAGGACAGAGAGATGAATATGACCATAGCAACAAGAATACCACAGCATATCATGGAAAATGTGACATTTGTGGCTACTGTATATGGAGAAACTGTGACCCAAAATGGGGCACAAAACTCACAGAAGGAAGAGTTTGAGAGACTGCAAATGAGAAAACCTCTGAGCCAATATGACTGTGATCCCGCAAAGCTGAAAAGATAGACTGACTAGACTGGCCCTTCCTTTAGGAAGGAGAGGGATGCCTTGCTCCAAGGAACCGAAGCTACCTTCCCATCCTTGGATCAAATCTGATTACCTTCTATTCCTCAGGTGCTGTATGATCACTATGAGTTTATCACTTCCCTATGAATAAAACAGAGAGATTGGCCCTCATAGTCTCATTCATTTCCATAAATGCAAGCTCTGCATTCTCTCATATGAATACCGACCACACATACAGCAAAGTAGCTAAAAATAGACTAAAAGAAGGTACAGTGAATTCATGAGTAGATTCCTTGCAAAGTAAAACTAGGAAAACTTATTTAATGGAAACTGTTTACAATTCATGATGGATTATTTTTAGAGTCGCTGGGAAATAACTAACATGGCCTATGGCCTGGTAGGTAAAGCTCTCGCTTTACACGCTGAGGGTCCAGGTTCAATTCCCAGCAAGGGTGGAAACATTGGGCATGTTTCCTTATACCTGTTGTCCCTGTTCACCTATCAGTAAAATGAGTACCTGGATGTTAGTCGACTGATGTGGGTCACATCCTGGGAAAAAACTGACCTAATTTGACTGAAATGCTCTGCATAACAAGGGGCTTTCTATATAGTACTATGTCATTGATGTCAGCTAGGCCTGTATACCTTGTACATTTACTTGTAGAAATAAAAATATTAACTAATTATTCCTGCCAAAAAAGTAGAAATACAGAAACAAAGAAAGCCTCTGATTCAACAAACTGCAAAGAAGCACAGTTCAGGACCAAGGATGAATGGAAAAAAATATAGACACCAAAGAACAATAAAAAATGGGACACTTTACCCAAGGCTGAGATGAGAGGCTCAAAGGCAATTAAAAAAAATAGAGACAGCAACTAAGGCAAAGTCTGAGTTCAAACTCCTTCACAGCCACATCAAGAGGAAACTTAAAATTCTAGAACAGGTGATATCATTATATTGATGAAACAAGGAAACTCACTGAAAAAAGCAGATAATACATAAGGATCTTGAATGTAACTGTCAAGAGGTGTTTCCCTAGAAACATATTTTAAAATAAAAATGATAACGAATCAGAAAGATATCACTATTGGCCCTAAGGATGGGGACAGAGGCCCTAATTACAACATTTGCCTTACAATGATGTCCAAGAAGCCATTGGATGGAAAATACAACATTTGGTGAATAGAAAGAGTGCCAATATTAAAGAAAATAGTAGACAATCATCCAAGTAACAAATTTGCAATAGATATTTACTGGGCTGAGAAAGAAAGCATTCCGCTGGATGAAAAAAATATTTGAGACAGTAGGCAGAATCACAGTGCAGGAAGAAGCATCAGTACGAGCATCAGTCACAAGTGTTGTTCCACTAAGTCCTGTACTAGAACCCATACTGTTGATGAAGAGGACATAAAGAGAAGGTGACCATTGGAAACTGCAAGGTCTGGAGAGACAACAGTAAGTGGCTGAAGAAAACATATCAATTGCAAGGAAACACAAGGTACCAATTAAGAAAATTAACCTTGGGGTAGACATCACACTAAACCTATCCCCAGAAGCATATATAAACAGAATAATAGTCATATTATATGCAAAATTAACATACTTACGGATAACCTCCAGGAATCTGAGTAAGAAACCATTCACATGATGTACACATTTCCTTGCTCACTGTGACTCCTCATCTTTCATATCTCAGGTACTACATAATCTCTTGAGTTGAAGAAGGCAGGTATTGCTGACAATGTCAAGTAAACCTTCATTATGAAGGTATGCTCTGATTTTGTGTCTTTTCTACCAACTTGAGCAGCAGTATTTTATGACACTACACTTTAAAGGCATTCTTCCAGTGTAGGAACATACACTTTACCCACTCTTCTTTTTCTTGTCGAAACTTTGTCATCTTAAAAGAAAAAAAAAAGAAAAAAAGGGGCCCTCTCCCACCGAGAAAGAGTGATGGAAAAAAATAGGAAACGCATTTACTGTCATTTACTCAATTGCTGTCTTGCCATTAGTGTACTGACATCACAGTTCAGATGACCTCTGAACACCAACATCCTCACCCCTCTTTTAGAGTGCAAGCACTGTACTTCCCACCTCCTGGACTCAAGTCTGGCTAACCAGTTTTCCTAAATCCCTTTATAAATGTTTCCGTGAACACACCCCAACAGCACATCACATCATAAAAAGCACGTATTTCCCCTCACTCCAACAGAATACACTCTCCCATGTCTGTTGAATGTTCAAGCCCCTTAGAACTCTATTATCATATTTAAGACATGACTTAGCATTCCTGAAGCTATGCAGATGCTATTAGGTAAAGTATTCCATATTTTCAAGTTTTCTATTAGTCTTTTTTTGCTATAATTTGCATCAAGTTGAATCTTATCTGTAATTCAGGGCTTCTTGTCTCTCTACCCTTGTGAATCTTGGGATCACATTTTCCACCTATCATGTGTCTGGCAATTCACCTGTTTAGTGATTCCTTAAAGATATGGGAAAGCTGTTTATACAGGTCTTCAACTCTTCTCAATAGCTATAGTGATATTTTATGTCAACTGGCAAGAGCAGATCATTAGCTTATTGCCTGGCTCAACTTTACTCAAATACATTCCCAAATAACCATAATATTTTACTATACTATACAGATTTATAAAAAAATTATTGGTAAAATGATAACGTAGTGATGTTTTGAATGGTACAATGTTTCGTCCACAAGTGGACTTTATCGAGTACATGATGAACCCACTCATGAGTAAAACAATGTACAATACCAATAAATTTGTATAAAGACTACACTGCACTAAGTGTGGTTTTACCATTTATCAGCATTATGTCTTCACTGAGTATACAAAATTATAAGTCTCTACAAAATGCTATCATAATGTTGATTGTGATACTGTGGATACAAAGATTTTGACAATATTGCTATTGCACTGGGCTACAGCTTGATATTACATAAATAATCATTATAGTTTAAAATGATATTGCTTTTATAAATACATTTTTGTGGCAGTGGAACATGTGTTATACAGTTTGGCCTGTCCTGTTCACTTGTATAAAAAATATACAGGGGGGCCCCCTTTGTACAGCTCTGAGGTTCCCGACCCCATACGGCAAATGAAAATTGCTGGTGGGTGGAAAAGAGCATGTTTTCATTACTGAATGCGTCCAAAACGCCTGATACCTTGTTTACACTTTCATATATTAAGTGCTCAATACAACTAGGCATAAAAAAAAAGATAGAAAAGTAAAATAAATACACAATACATAAAATACCTACCTTAAAATGTGGTGCTGGTCGCCCTTCCTTTGCGCAATCGTTGTATGAAAATGGCAAATTCGGTGTAAAAGCACTGAACATAATGAACAATGGCTCAATTGAAAACCAATAAAAATGTGAAACACCAAAAAGAGGGTGCCGAATACACAGGGCCCTCCTATATAGTTTATACATTATTTTAATGTCTTAACATCATACAAATATTCATCCTAAGTAAAGGATTTTATGTCTCAAGATCTCTGGCTACAAAAATTGAGTACAACTCAATGGTAGACTGAGACAATACTGAACTGAGTCAGACATTTTACATTATGAAATTGGGACCATTTCATTATTTAAAGACAAAATCATATGCATGTCTATTTCAATCGCAGAAATTCCATCCACATTATCATCTGAGATCAAGAGCAGGTCCATCGGTGGGCAGTGAATCCTCTAGTCAACATGGGACATCTTAGTCGAGATAGGACCAAGTCTGGCAATATATCAATACAAGTGCTCCTCAACTTACAATGGGGTTATATTCTGACAATTTAATCGTAAGTTGAATATGAATATGATATGCTAAATAAATAAGTAAATAAATAACTACTGTCACTGAATAGGTAAATAAACAAATAATTGCTGTAACTAACTAAATGCCAGTATTGAAAAGTAAATAAATGAACACAAGTTATGGACTTGTTGCCTTTATACTGAGTAATTATCTTAAGTTTCATCCCCAAAGTAATCGATTTTGCACCATTGTTAACTCGAAATATTGTAAGTCAAGCCATCCTAAGTCAAGGAGCACCTGTACTTCATGTGACAATGTTGAACCACACAAAGATACCTTTGATAATGTTGCTACTACACACACTTATTAACATAATGGCAGTGTTACAGCAACACAAATACACTCAGAAAGCCTTTACTGCACAAAGTTTTGTTCAAGAACAAGGCTTTATCAAGTCCTGTATGGGTGTAACTACTCTAGGTCTGGTGCTGCTGTCTGGCAGGCCTAGTTCTACCTACAGCTCACTCCACGAGATGTATCTGTCTCACTACTGCTTGGACACTCCAGCAACTGGACACTCTCTCAGAATTCTCTTGGCAGACCGTTGGCCTGGCAACGCATAGCATCAAGCAAACTGTCTGTACATTTATACCAATAAACCTAAGGCTCACCTTCATAGAAGTATCCTTACCCCATTGGATAAATCCTACTGATATATAGGAATTGGTGTGTTTTGTTATTCGGGCAACAGGAAAGGTCTCCTGCCATGGATCTTCGGTGAATGACGTTAAATTTAGTGATTACCCAACCCTTGGCATCCAGATGCTGGATATTAGTGATTAAAAAATAGCCTCTAATTGATGTTGGGTATCTGTAAAAAAGCATCCTCTTTAATACTGTTGTTAGGTATGAGTGATTAAGCAACTGCTGGCTTACCAATGTTATATATCAATGACTACCTTGAGTCTACCTGGAGGATATTCCAGGAATCAATGCCCCCGTGGACCGATCCATGACCAGGCCTCCCGGTGGATCAGGGCCTGATCAACTAAGTTGTTACTGCCGGCTGCATGTAATCCAATGTACGAACCACAGCCTGGCTGATGCGGTACTGATTTTAGGTATCTGTCCAGCTCCCTCTTGAAGGCAGCCAGGGGTCTATTGGTAATTCCCCTTATGCCTGGTGAGAGGCTGTTGAACAGTCTTGGGCCCCGGACACTTTCTGTGTTTTCTCTTAGTGTACTAATGGCGCTCATACATTAGCCTAGTCTGCTTGAAATGCACAGGATACTAGTGGCTTCCTTTTGTGCTTAACACGTAAACTACATTTGGTATACTGCGAAAGAAATAAAGTTTGTTTGTAGCTGGCTTACAGAGTTAAGGTAATCCCACCCTGTTTAAAAAAGAAAGATTACACTTTCATGTCCTGAGGAAGACTAAATATGAAGTGCTGCATGCTATTGGTGTCTTTGTGCTTAACAATATTTTATAATATGTAAATTATACATTGAAAACTATGCAAAGAAATAAAATTTTGAATTTCAATATATGGTACCTAGCTTGATGCTGTTAGATCAGGTGCCAGTCCAACTCTTCCAATTACTTACCTATTATGACTATTCTTAGCTACAGGAACAAGATTAAGTTTGTGATGTCCCATCTTCAGTATTTAGTCCACCACTAATATTTTTTAATTTTCCAGTAGTTGTACATGTAGTACCTAATACTTATTTAAACCATATACTGTTCTATTCACTACTTATTTAAACCATTTTGTTGTTATATCTACTATTTATTTATACCATTTCACTGTTCTATACCTGGAGTTTACCTGGAGAGAGTTCCGGGGGTCAACGCCCCCGCGGCCCAGTCTGTGACCAGGCCTCCTGGTGGATCAGAGCTTATTTAAAACTTATTTAAACTATTTCGTTGTTCTGTCTACTACTTTAAACCATTCACTGTTCTATTCACTACTTATTTAAACCATTTTGTTGTTCTATCTACTACTTATTTAAACCATTTCACTATTTAAACCATTTCATTGCTGTATCACTCAATAAAAACTTCACAGTACCCTTTAGACAGTTTTTTTCTTTATTGTTAAGAGGTTGCATGACACTTACAGCCTGATTCTGTTCAGTTTGTAAAATAATGACCAATTAAAATATACCACTCTTAACCTGTCTAGATTTAAGTAGTCTTTAAGTATTAGGATTAGTCTGCCCGAAATGCCCCAGCGTGATGGTGGCTTTCTTTGTACTTAACAAATTATAAAATGTAATGTCACATTGTAACCTTCGCAAAGAAATAAATTTTGTATTTGTTTGTCTAAGATAAGAAAGTCAGTGTGTCATTGAGGACTGTGTCTTGTTTCCACTGTGGTCCTTCAATCTTGTCCATCAGGATACAACCCTCAACAGTCAACTAACACTGACAACAGGTGTAAGGAAATACATCCAATGTTTCCACCCATGTCGGGGACTGAACCATAGATAATCTGTGTGTAAGGTGAGTACATTGCCAATCAAGACACTAAATTGGTAGTCACATTGTACCTGGGGAAATGGTTGGCAATCAGGTTTGATTCGAGAGGGTACCTCCAATTCCTTTGATCAAGAGCCTCCTTTCAAGAGACTCATTTCTAAAAATCTGGCTCAATACCTGACCAAACAGCAGTGAGCCTTGATCCACCTGTCACTATACACCTACCACATCTCACTCTCATACCTGTGACTGGTTTCAAGAGTACTTCCAACCATGCATCCCAGCTTGAAGCCAGCATTGTTTGCCTGGTTAATCAGGCTGTTGCTGCTAGTGTCCCACTTGCCTGCATCACAAACTGGTTGATCTGCTACTTAGAGAAGGTAATGCCTCAATTTCCTCATGAAAACTTTCTACCTTTGTTCTAGCTGTATTCCAAAATCAGCTAGTAGCAGTTTGTGTGCTCTCTGACATTGGCAAGTAGCAGCTTATGTACTTCTCTGACATCAGCTAGTAGTAGCTTGTGTGTTTCTTTGATATCAGCTAATAACAGGTTGCGTGCTTCTCTGCTGTCAGCTAGTAACAGGCTGTGTGTTTCACTGATATTAGCTAACAGTGTTTCTCTGTAGGACTTGATAAAGTTCTCGCATGATCAGAACATTGACAAATAAAATCTTGCCTTGCTTAATGTATTTCTCACATTTGTCAGCAGTTTGTCTGTATTTGGTTGATGTTCTCTCTTGATCACTATCTTAAAACTAATTCAAGGTATATTTTTATTGGCAGTAAAATGTTTCCTCCTATAATAAATAAAAGTTATTTTATTAAAAATTATAATTTACTATTCTTAAGGATGCCCCAGTCAAATCTGCTCTGAATTTGCACAACAAATCCAGAAGAGAACTTTCACCCCACTACCTTATCCACTTTCATTAGTTGCCCTCACAACAGGGGGCTTCCTGAAGACAAGATGAGAGAGAGAGGTCTCTCTGGAGCAAAACTTCAGCCATCTCTAAGCATGAGCTTCAGCCCGGTAACTGGGTCTGGATTACAAGTTCCACAATAGCCACCACATCGTCCAAGAATCCGCTGGTTGTCCTGTAATGGAATTCCCCACCAAAAAATTAATAATTTTTTTTACAGCACCAGTCATATCCTACCAAGGCAGGGTGACCTAAAAAGAAAAATGAAAGTTTGGGTTCAGGCCTAATAAAAATACTAATGATGCTATTATCCACATGCTAGAACATTTATACAGCAATAGAGAAAAAAGAAGTCCCACTGGGGATCTTCATTGACTTACGTAAAGCTTTCGATACAGTTGACCATGACTTGCTCCACATAAAATTGTCGTACTATAGTATAAGAGAGCACTCCCTCAACTACCTAAAGTCATACCTCAGCAACAGAAGCCAATATCTGTACACAAATGGGGCAAACTTTTCCGCACAGCCAATTACAGTTGGTGTCCCACAGGGAAGTGTCCTAGGCCCTCTTCTCTTTCTCATATACATAAATGACCAACCAAATGCATCACAACTACTCAAACCCACACTATTTACAGATGACACTACATATGTCTTCTCTCACCCAAGCCCAGTCATACTAGCCAATACTGTAAATACCAAATTACAGAAAATATCTACCTGGATGATGATTAACAAACTTACTCTCAATATTGACAAAACCTACTACATTCAGTTTGGGAACAGAACTACAGATGTTCCTCTTAACATAATGATAAGCGGATCACCTATCACAAAGCTCACAGAGGGAAAATTCTTAGGAATACACCTTGATAGTAGATTCAAATTTCAAACACATGTACAACAAATTTCCAAGAAAATCTCCAAGACTGCAGGCATACTATCGAAGATATGGTACTATGTTTCACAGTCAGCCCTCCTGGCCCTATATCACTCACTCATTTACCCCTATCTCACCTATGGAATTTGTGCATGGGGCTCAACAACATTAATTACCCAACAAAAGGCTGCAGTCAGAATGGTAACAAATTCCAACTCCAGGCAGCATACTCCACCAATATTCAAAACTCTAAACTTACTCACCGTACAAAACATCCATACTTATTATTGTGCCTACTACATACATAGAACACTAAACTCGGATGTAAACCCTCCCCTCAAACTTCTCCTTACCAACCTTAACAGAACACATGACCATAACACAAGGCACAGATCACTCTTTGATGTTCCCCGTGTCCATCTCACACTATGTAAAAACTCAACTGGAAATAAATGGTATAAAACACCGACACAATGGAAATATAAACACATATGCAGTATAATGTGATCCTTTATTGACAACGTTTTGCCGACACAGTGAGCTTTTTCAAGTCACAAACAGATCTGTCTGCAGCTTGAAAAAGCTCACTGTGTCGGCGAAACGTTGTCAATAAAGGATCACATTATACTGCATGTGTGTTTATATTTCCAAAAACTCAATTCACATATAAGGCCCAAAAATCTGGAATTCATTACCTGTGAATATAAAAGAAATAATGTCTGTTTATCAATTCAAGACTTCTTAAAAACCATTTACTCAACCACAACTAAATAAATACTGAATAACTGAATCTCATAAATGTATAACCTATGACCCTATCAAACTGTTTTTTCTTTATTACATTACCTAATAGAATACTCCGTTTTCTTGAATGCACAGTAACTCATCTAATGACCATATGACCTTTTTCTGCACTACAAATCATTGATTTTACTCAATCTGATTTGATTATATACGTTGTTACGATACAAATTTGTACAATTTTAATCCTTTGACTTTTCTGGTCGTATATATATGTCTTACGAGCCAGTGTTTCGGACATATATATACTCAATAATTCTAGCGGCTTCAAATCAAGCAGGAGAAAGCTGGTAGGCCCACATGTGAGAGAATGGGTCTGTGTGGTCAGAGTGCACCACATAAAAAAAATCCTGCAGCACGCAGTGCATAATGAGAAAAAAAAAAAAACTCTGACCTTCAAATTGAGCTCAAAGTAGCGGAAATGTTCGATTTTTACCAATGTTCAAGAGTAAATGAATCACACCACACGTCCAATACATGTCAACTGGGGAGTCTAATATTCTTTCACTAGTGTACTGATATTATTTATACCATTTTTACAATAATGCAGTAGTCTGCATAACAGTAAATTTTGTATTTTTTGTATGAATAAAAAGTCAAAATGGAAAGCAATAGTAATGTAAGAGGGGCCTAGAGACGTGAGTAATGAACAGAGGATATGTTATTTTAGTGCTAGGAATGTCTATATTGTTTATTCTGGACCCTATTTTGAAATTGGCATCTTTTTTAATTTGCATGAAATTGCCCAAATTGCCAATTTCTGACCACTTTATTGGATAGTTCAAATCGGTAAATGGGCAGTTTCTTGAACTCAGTTGATAGAAAAAATGGAGTTCTAAAGAAATAGCTATGAGTTTGGTCAACTGGAACAATGGAATTAGCCAAAAACAGGACTCAAAGTCGGTGAAATCGCTGATGCGTATATGTCACCGAGACCACTAACTTCGAGGGAGCGTAATTCCGTGAGTTTTCGACCAAATTTCATACTTTTGGTGTCATTGCCATTGGGAAAAGATTTTCTATAATTTCATAAAAATAATAATTGTTTTTTCCCAAAAATTTGGCAACATAGAATGACAGTTTCAGAAAGGGGCTTGTGACAGTCAAAGAGTTAATGCTTCTTATTTGAAATACTCATTTGTACTTCATGTTGTAATTTGTTTACTGTAATTTTTACCACTGAATATATCAATGCTTAGTTAATCTTAAGTTAATTTTAAGCCTACCCATAATGCTCTGCATACAAGGGGCTTTTGGCATGTACACCCAATCACTATATTTCTTTGTACAACTATGTATCCTGTCCAAATAAAAAATAAATAAATAAATAAATAAATAAATATGGCTTACAGAGGAAGAATTCACTTCCACTTGCTCATGGAGATGAAAGGAAATAAAGAAGAACAAGAATTATTAAGAAAGAAAAAACTCAGATGGGTATGTATACGTACATATGCACGTACATACATACGTGGTGTGATCTAAGTGTAAGTAGACGTTGTAAGATATACCTGTTATCTTGCATGTTTGAGACGGAAAAAGAAAAAAAAGACACTAGCAATACTAACATTGTGTAAAAATTTGACAGGTTTCACTTTCACACTCATTTGGCATTAGTATCTCCCTGGGTGGCTGCTGTCTGCTAACCTACTATCTATATAATTAATTTTAATTAAATATCAGTAATATTTTCACTTTTACATCTGCTATAAATTCATATTTATGAACTGAATATAAATGTATCCTTCAGGAGCTTTTTAAGATTTAAGTAGTGTTATTTTTTATTTGATTATTTTGGTGATCACTTTGAAAACAGCCTATGCTATTAGGACCTCGACATATTAGCCTAAAATGTTACATTTTGGGAAATTATAAAATATTTCTGTACACTGGGTAATGACCCTTTCAAATTTACCTTCTAAACCAATAATTCTGGACCTCCCAAACTCTTGGCATCCATCTTCTGTCCTTTTTGTATTAAATTTGCTATCTATGCCTACTATTATTATGATATATAAGTTAAATTATGATATATATATTATGATATATAAGTTAAATTGACGTCTATTAACCCTTAAACTGTCCAAACATAGATCTATGTTGTTACTGCTAGCACTCCAAACATGGATCAACATTTTATTTTTCTTGCCTTCAAATTTGGCATAATTGGCCTGAGATGCCTGGTCAGTATAGAATGGGTCTTAACACTTGGTGTGCACAGTATTAAAAAAATCTGGGACCACTTAGTACCTTGTGGGAGCACCAGTTCAATTGAGCACCAGCTAGAGCCAACAGCATGGCAAACACCAGGGATTCACTGATGTCATGTTGTATTAACACCCCTTTTAAGAGGAAAGTGATGTTGATCCTGAGTTTAGTGACTTTGAGATGGATGTGGCCACAAGTGGCCGAGGAAATATCAAAAACCTTTATAATAACCCATGTGCAACATCCTTTCAATTCTGATACCTCTGGTAGTGTCATCTTGCCAGAATGTCCTATAACCCATGCCCTAAGTAAAGAGAAACAATTCTGGAACATGTGTAATGGGTATTTGGCAGGCCAGCTGGCTGGCCACCAGCTAGCTGACTGGGTGGGTGGCTGACTGACTGACTTTGGTTGTCTATCTGTATCTGTCTCTATCTCACAGGTACACATACGTATAGTTATCATACATAGGATAACCCAAAAAATGTAGACAAAGTGCTATACTGTGCTTGTAGATTTAAGACATAACAAGCATGACTGGCAATACAGTTTCATTTGATCAGGAATCAGACATGACGACTCTGCATCGTGTGTAATACCTGTTAGTTCATGAGCAGCTCTCTGAGACAGAGACAAGCAGACAGAGACAGGAAGACAGACACACACACACACAGGCAGACAGAAAGACAGATAAGCAGAGCTAGACAGACAGGCATGTTTATTTGTAAACGTGAAAACAAATAAAGCCAAGGTTCCCTGGAGCAGTGCTTGGTCATCAAGTGTCATTCCACTGCTGCACTGTCAGCAGTGGAATGACACTCATCTTTCACGGTGCTTCAAAGAGTTTCATATATACTCCAGCATGTCTAAAACATTGCCTGGACCTATAAATACTTTGTATATATTTCTAGTCAATAGTATGTGACCAAGACAGGTGAAAATGTTCACCTGTCAGTGTGTTTATGACTATTTGAGTACTATTTCAGTACCTAATATTAATGTCAGAACAAAGATTGGCTATGAAATCACAAGAACTACTATATATTGTAATTATCAGAACATAAAAATTATATAAATTAAAATAAAAACGAGAAAAAAGGGTATATCGGCAACACTTCTGCAAGTGGCAGGACTCCATGTTGCCGTCAGGTGAGCACCCAAAACCAAATTTGCAGCCTTATATCTCAGCAAGTACTGACCCTAAATTTTTTTTCTGGGTCTTATTACACCCAGAAAATTGCCCTCTTTAATTAAATTTTTTTTTCAAAACGTTCGAAGTGCTAATAGTGAAAACGTAGGTCTACGTTTGGACAGTTTAAGGGTTAAATAAAGCATTTACTGTAGTTAGTAAAAATATGATGATGAAAGTGTTTCTTCATTTTTGGGGTCACCACAACTTGGTGGGAAACAGTCTTCTTTCTTTCTTTCTTTCAACGCACCAGCTGTATCCCACTGAGGTGGGGTGGCCCAAAAAGAAAAACAGAAGTTTCTTGTTTTAAATTTAGTAATATATACAGGAGAAGGGGTTACTAGCCCCTTGCTGGGAAACAGTCTATGTGTTAAAAAATAAATATAAAATCACACACATGTCCATCACTACTAAATAAGCAAAATCTCCATCTAGACTATTTATCTTTTGCTAAGTATAATTTTCCTCAATTTAAAAAATGAGCCCAAAATGCTCATGCATGCTAGTGGCTTTCTTTGTGCTTAACAATTCTTATTATATATGTAAACTACAGTTTGCATACTACACAAAGAAATAAAAATTTTGATTTTGATTTTTGATACAGTAAAACAATGTGCAGCTACTTACATCTAATCTATTTATATAATGGGCTGCATTAGTGCCTCTGGTGATCCAATTAGTACGTGGAGAAACTGCCAGTGCTGTTCCGGCCAGATTGATTGAGAAGGCTCCCTGAGGACACAGTGCCATGCTGAAGCAGTCGCCAGCCTCACCATACCTTACTAAATGACCATCCACTGCTCGAGCAAATGTGAAGTCATATGCTGAGGAAAAAACAGAGGAATAAATTAATGCACCACGAAATTTAAAAAAAAAAAAAAAGTTTGCTTTTATGTAAATAACTAAATGCAAATTTTTCAAGCAATATTTCAGTCTATATGATACAGTATATATTTCTGTGCATGGATTCTCATAAACCAATAGGAATACATCCTATCTTTTTTAACACTATAGCTTTTACATGTCTATTAAGGGATTTATGATTTGCATGGTTCTGTAAATTTCCTGAGGCCAATCATGGTGCAGGATCTGTGTGATGCATGGTTAAACCATGAGAGGAACTTTTTATAATCCTCAAGAAACCATGCATAGCAGAAACTCACGATGACGTTTTAGTCCGACTTGGACATACGTCAGTTTGCGTGTAGCCAACAATAACAGCCTAGTTGATCAGACACTGATCCACCACGAGGCCTGGTCTCAGACCGAGCCACGGGGGTGTTGACCCCCGAAACCCTCTCCAGGTATACAGTGGACCCCCGGTTAACGATTTTAATCCGTGCAAGAGGGGTAATTGTTATGCGAAATAATCGCTATGTGAATGAATTTTCCCCATAAGAAATAATGGAAATCAAATTAATCCATGCAAGACACCCAAAAGTATGAAAAAAAAAATTTTACCACATGAAATATACATTTTCCCACACACAAAGAGAAGGATACATGCACAATAGTAGAGTAGTACATGCACAGTATATATTGTGCATGTACTAGTCTACTAAATGAAGAATAAATGACACTTACCTTTATTGAAGATGCAGCAATGACTGATGAGACACTGTGTCCTGGGAGTGCCTTTTCCTCCTGAGTACTGTAGGTCCTGTTTGGCATTTTCTTCCAGAACAGGCCTTATCACACTGTGTATGCCACTACGATTCTTAAATCTCTCAAACCAACCTTTGCTGGCTTTAAATTCACCAATATGAGCACTAGTTCCAGGCATTTTTCCCTGTTCACCTGGGTGTTAGTCGACTTGTGTGGGTTGCATCCTGGGAGACAAGATTAAGGACCCCAATGGAAATAAGTTAGACAGTCTTCGATGACACTGACTTTTTTGGGTTATCCTGGGTGGCAAATCCTCTGGGGTTAATTGTTTCTTGGTATTCTCAATAAGCCACACCAACAACGGTGCTACAGCAGCAGCAGCAGCTGTACCACCAATAGTAGCGATGGTTGATTGGGGTTTATTATACAACCTGGCCAGCTCGGAGACATGCACTCCACTTTCATACTTATCAATGATCTTTTTCTTCATCTCTATTGTAATTCTCACCCTTATTGCTGTAGGGTTGGCACTAGAAGCTTTCTTGGGGCCCATGGTCACTTATTTTCCAGAAAAAGCACCGAAAACACTGTAATAATACGAAATATTCCGATTGTATGCTTGGATGTTACCGCGGAGGCTGGCTGGTAAACAATGCCACCGGCGGAACATGTGAGCGTGGCTCAGGCCGCGTCTCGGATGAAAATCGGTAAGCGGGTTTTTAAGCGGTATGTGAGGCAAAATTTTTGCGATTAAAGTAAGCGGTATGCGAAATAATCGCTATGTGATGCCATCGTTATGCGGGGGTCCACTGTACATTTCCTTCTCCTATGTGTGAGTTATCTGTGCAGTGTTCAGTTCTGGTATTGTGACTTTTAGTTCTTTATAGAATCCTAACTCCTTCCTAAGGGTAGTGAGAAGAGGAATTGAGGCATGAAGCAGTGTAGTTCTAGATTTGGGATATGGTGTTTCTTTATCATTTCTAATCACACGTAAATAGGAATAATGACTGTCAGAACTCGTTTTCAAAAATTAAAAAAAAAAAAATTATGTATATTATGGCAAAAGTCATGAGAGTAACAATGTCTTCAAGGGGCTAATCTATAACATACTAGAAGCACAATGAAATCCCATCATTATTTTCATGACTGAAAGCTACACAGTACTGATACCAACAATATGGATAAGAGGACACGAGTACATACGCTTAAGACACCTTTATTGAAAAATAATACAATTAAAATGGCCCAAGTGTATGGGCTGGTGTTTCTTCAACCAAAAATTAGGAGGCAAACAAATTTAACAAAGTTAATTAACTTTAACTCATAAATATACAGATCATACTTACTGTCAACAACTAGAGATGTTGTGTTGAGTCTTATCTTACTGAATGAAGTGTAGCCAGAATGACTGCTTTCATTTTGCCGGCAGTCACAGTTAGTACGACGTTCTTCCTCATGAGGACATGTATCAGGGTCATTTAAACTGCAACACCAAATAATATAACATTACCTTCTTAGTAATATATATGTAGTAACACAGTTCTGAGGCATCAGAATTTTTTTCTATTCAATTTGTGTATCTAAAGTACAAAAATTTTTGAATTTGTAAAATTACACGTGCACATTTCACCATGAGAATTTTAACATTGTACTTATAAATATTTCCATGGGGAAGTGGAACAGAATTCTTCCTCCGTAAGGCATGCATATCGTAAGAGGCGAATGAAATGCCGGGAGCAAGGTGCTAGTAACTCCTTTTCTTGTATACATTATTAAAGTTAAAAATAGAAACTTTCATTTTTCTTTTTAGGCCACCCTACCTTGGTGGGATATGGCCGGTTTGTTGAAAAAAAAAAAACTTTTGTTTTTCTTTTTTGGGCCACCCTGCTTCAGTGGGATACAGCCAGTTTGTTGAAAGAGGAAGACGCTTATAAATATATCCATGGGGAACTAGAACAGAATTCTTCATCCGTAAGCCATGTGTGTCATAAGAGGCGAGCAAATAAAACCCCCCTAAATTCCATCAATATAATGACATTTATCTTTGCAAACATACAAGGTCTAAAGCATCAACAAATAACTAAATTCCTTACATAAAGGGACTGCTCAGGGAGTCAAATGCAATGTTAGCAGCTTTTACAGAGACCCACATAAAGGATCATTTTGACAATGAAATATGGATCCCAGGTTATAACCTATTCAGATGAGACAGACTAAACAGGCAACAAAGGGGATGCTGGCTTGTATGTCACAGAGTCGCTCATTTGCTCAGAACTACTAATCACCTCAAATGATGTAGTTGAAGTTATGGCAGTAAAGACTGAAAATCAAAACCTTGTCATTGTGGTGGTATACAAGCCTCTGTATGCAACTTCCCAGCAATTCCAGGAACAGCTTTTGAAAACTGACCACTGTCTGGAAAATCTCCCAACTCCTGCCCCAAACATCTTGCTACTGGGAGATTTCAACATGAGACACCTAAATTGGAGAAGTGTAGCAAATGACATTATAGCAGAGGTCACCCCAGGAGGCAGTTCAGATGAAAATTCACACACACACACACACACACACACACACACACACACACATGCTATTAAATCTCTGCACCAAATTCACTTTAAACCAGCAAATATTAGAGCTTACAAGACCAGAAAATATGCTGGACCTCATCTTCACTAACAATGACGATCTGATACGTAATTATAACCATATCAAAGACAATACACTCAGATCACAACATGACAGAGGTACAGACATATATGCACAGGGCTCCTGACCAGCAAAATATGATCAGTCATGAGGGTCTTCACAAAATTCAACTTCAATTACAAAAACATACAATGGGAACAAGTCACCCATGTTCTAAATGAAACAAACTGGTAAGATATCCTAAACAACACAGATCCAAATTTTTGCTTAGAAAAAATTAACTCTGTGGCACTTGAGATCTACTCGAGGCACATTCCATTAAGAAAAAGAAAGAGAAGGTGTAAACTAGAAAGAGATGCTCCCTATGCAAGTGAAGGCGAAGAATCACAGAGCTGCTGAGAGGGGCCAATATGTCTGAAATACGAAGGGAGACACCGGTCGAATATTGAACTTAAGCTTAAGGAATCTTACAGGAGACAAGAATATCAATAAGAATTAAAAGCCATAGAGAAAACTGAAAAAAAACAAAAACAAAATACTTCTCCTCTTATGCCAAATCTAAGGGTAAAACAACATCCAGTAGTATTGGGCCTCTGCTTAGGCGAGATGGGACATACACAGATCTTTCTTTCTTTTTTCAACAAACTGGCCATATCCCACCAAGGCAGGGTGGCCCAAAAAGAAAAACGAAAGTTTCTCTTTTTAAATTTAGTAATTTATACAGAAGAAGGGGTTTACCTGGCATTTTAGTCGCCTCTCACACCACACATAGCTTATGGAGGAAGAATTCTGTTCCACTCACCCATGGAGAGAAGAGGAAATACACAAGAACAAGAACTAATAAGAAAATAGAAGAAAACCCAGAGGGGTGTGTATATATATGATTGTACATATATGTGTAGTGTGACCTAAGTGTAAGTAGAAGTAGCAAGACGTACCTGAAATCTTGCATGTTTATGAGACAGAAAAAAAGGACACCAGCAATCCTACCATCACTTAAAATAATTACAGGCTTTCGTTTTACACTTACTTGGCAGGATGGTAGTACCTCCCTGGGCGGTTGCTGTTTACCAGCCTACTACCTAAAACATACACAGATGACAGCAAAGAAATGAGTGAGATACTAAAGTCCCAATAAGACTCGGTGTTCAGCGAGCCATTAACCAGACTAGGAATCAACAATCTAAATGAATTCTGTATGACTGAGACCCAAAATTTGGTCATCTCAAAAATCTCTGATATTATCCTACCACCACAAGACTTTGAAAAGGCAATAAATGACATGCCCATGCACTTTGTCCCAGGCCTGGACTCATGCAACTCTGTATTCATCAAGAACTGCAAGAAGCCCTTGTCACTGGACCCCTGCGCCTCAACCATACAACTCCCCCGCCTCACCCACCCAACTCCCAGCACCACCCCAACTGTAGAGGGTACTTTTCCCCTCCCAGCCCATGATGTCAGTTTACCTGAAGTTTACCTGGAGAGAGTTCCGGGGGTCAACGCCCCCGCGGCCCGGTCTGTGACCAGGCCTCCTGGTGGATCAGAGCCTGATCAACCAGGCTGTTGCTGCTGGCTGCACGCAAACCAATGTACGAGCCACAGCCCGGCTGGTCAGGAACCGACTTTAGGTGCTTGTCCAGTGCCAGCTTGAAGACTGCCAGGGGTCTGTTGGTAATCCCCCTTATGTATGCTGGGAGGCAGTTGAACAGTCTCGGGCCCCTGACACTTATTGTATGGTCTCTTAACGTGCTAGTGACACCCCTGCTTTTCATTGGGGGGATGTTGCATCATCTGCCAAGTCTTTTGCTTTTGTAGTGAGTGATTTTCGTGTGCAAGTTTGGTACTAGTCCCTCTAGGATTTTCCAGGTGTATATAATCATGTATCTCTCCCGCCTGCGTTCCAGGGAATACAGTTTTAGGAACCTCAAGCGCTCCCAGTAATTGAGGTGTTTTATCTCCGTTATGCGTGCCGTGAAGGTTCTCTGTACATTTTCTAGGTCAGCAATTTCACCTGCCTTGAAAGGTGCTGTTAGTGTGCAGCAATATTCCAGCCTAGATAGAACAATTGACCTGAAGAGTGTTATCATGGGCTTGGCCTCCCTAGTTTTGAAGGTTCTCATTATCCATCCTGTCATTTTTCTAGCAGATGCGATTGATACAATGTTATGGTCCTTGAAGGTGAGATCCTCCGACATGATCACTCCCAGGTCTTTGACGTTGGTGTTTCGCTCTATTTTGTGGCCAGAATTTGTTTTGTACTCTGATGAAGATTTAATTTCCTCGTGTTTAACCATATCTGAGTAATTGAAATTTCTCATCGTTGAACTTCATATTGTTTTCTGCAGCCCACTGAAAGATTCGGTTGATGTCCGCCTGGAGCCTTGCAGTGTCTGCAATGGAAGACACTGTCATGCAGATTCGGGTGTCATCTGCAAAGGAAGACACGGTGCTGTGGCTGACATGCTTGTCTATGTCGGATATGAGGATGAGGAACACGATGGGAGCGAGTACTGTGCCTTGTGGAACAGAGCTTTTCACCGTAGCTGCCTCGGACTTTACTCTGTTGATGACTACTCTCTGTGTTCTGTTAGTGAGGAAATTATAGATCCATCGACCGACTTTTCCTGTTATTCCTTTAGCACGCATTTTGTGCGCTATTACGCCATGGTCACACTTGTCGAAGGCTTTTGTAAAGTCTGTATATGATGGCACAGGGTGTGCTGGGCTCATGGGAACTTCCACTGTGGGGACAGTACTGTGGAGTTCGACCACGAGGCATCTGTCAGGTGTGCTACAGGCAGTGTGCAATTGGTTCCTCAAGCTTCAACATCCGTGCGCATGGTGGATGCCTGGGTACCCGGAGGGCACCAGGTGGAAACAACCAACAGCCCCACCCAGCAGATAGAGGTGAGAGCTGCTGCATCTTCACCTTTACAGAGAACCTGGGATCTGCAATCAAATTCACGTCCACTAGGACGTTGACATGTCCTCAGGGCAGCTCTCCCTCAGGCTGCTAGCGGAGTCGCTGACCTCTTGGGGAGGGTCGTTGGTACTCCTGCAAGCAGTAGATCCTGGCGCAACCTGCTGCTGTTTGCAATGGCTGTCTGGCTGTCCTGCTGAGGAGGGACAGGCACCTAGCTACATCTGTTGTTGGGGCAATGTTGCATTCCCTAGAATGTTTGTTAATTGCTCATTACTCTGTAATTTGTTCATGATTGTAACCATGTATGGACGTGTTTATGATTCATTACCCTTGTAACTTGTCATGATTGTGACCAGCTCTACATGGAGCTCATTACCTTTGTAACTTGTTATGATTGTGACCAGATCTAGTTCATTACCTTTGTAACTTGTTCAGCTATCAAAACTTTGGCTGTCAAGGTCCTGGATGGATTAGATGATAAACAAAATGCAGATGTAGTGTACATATACTTTGCAAAAGCCTTCGACAAGTGTGACCATGGTGTAATAGTGCACAAAATGCATGATAAAGGAATAACAGGAAAAGTTGGTAGATGGATCTATAACTTCCTAACAAATAGAACACAAAGAGTAATAGTAAAAGAGTAAAGTCTGAGGCAGCTACGGTGAAAAGCTCTGTTCCACAAGGCACAGTACTCACTCCCATCCTATTCCTCATCCTCATATCTGACATGGACAAAGACATAAGCATAGCTTCATGTCTTCCTTTGAGGATGACACCCAAATTGCGACTACAGTGTCCTCCATTGAAGACACTGCAAGACTCCAAGTGAACATCAAGCAAGTCTTCAAATGGGTCACTCAAAACAATATGAAGTTAAATGAAGAGAAAATTCAACTATTCAGATA